AATATGTTAAAGCTATAAAGAAATGCTTCTTCTAATCATGTCGTTATTAATTTTTTTAAAAGTTAAAAAAATTTCCTCAAAGCATAAAAATTTGCTCCTTAATAATTAGTAGATGTGAAAAACATTACCATTGAAATCTACCTGATGACTTTATATCCATACTCAGATACCAAGGAGCTCAGAAAGTAACTGACTGTGACTAGTAATAATGAGATATATAGAGATTAGAAATGCATGTGCAAACATCTTAGTGTCAATTGCATTAAAAATGAATTTTTCTGTATGAAACTGTGTATTTTAATAATGAAATGGAGATCTTTTTTAAAGGCTAAAACCTCATTTAATTTTATGTCTTAAAGGGTTTATACTGAGTACAATATTGTATAAGTGTATTAATTCTGCTGTAAACCTAAAAATTTACAGCCAATTTTGAAAGAGATACATCTTAGCTCTGGAAATTGTTATTGAATATGTCAATGCTGTTGTAATGAAATGCTTCTTTTAATTAAAAATTTTGAAAGAGATACATCTTAGCTCTGGAAATTGTTATTGAATATGTCAATGGTATTGTCATGAAATGCTTCTTCTAATTATGTGGTTATTAAATAATTAAAAATGAATAAATAAAAATTTTTAAAAAGGTCAAAAATTAATTCAAAACCAAATCCATAACAAAATCTGAGGTGTTTTTGGCAGCATATACCTGTGTTGCCCTGAGGGACTTAACTACAGTCCTCTGACCATACATGTGGACTCTGTACTCTGGGAAGTTTCACACCATGGGAGTCTTCACACTGTTTAACCCTAGTGAACCAACTCCTGAAACATCCCAGTTTAGATCCCAGACTGTATGTTACAAACTGCAGTGTTTTTATTCTACATACAAAGTTTTCTGCTCTTGTCAACACAATAGTTTAATTACAGAAAATGCTTTAATACTTTCCTACTGTTAGTCCTTAGCATGTAAGTATCAAATTAGTGCACCTTTGGGTTATTTTGTGTTCGAATGTTTGATTTTAAAAGTTTCTGTTTCAGGCTTGGCATGGTGGCACATGCTACACAGAGACCCTGTCTCAAAAAAAAAAAAAAAAGACCAGAAAAACAATTTCTGTTTCAGGGCTTGGAAGGATTGCTCAATGGTTAAGAAAGCTTAGTGCTCTTACAGAGGACCTGAGTTCGGTTCTGTGCTGGATAGCTTTAGTGTCAACTGGATACACCTGGGTTGAGGGACCCTCAATAAGGGAATTGCCTTCATTGGACTGGCCTGTGGCCATGTCCATGGGGCATCTTGTTGATTGTTGAGTGATGTGGGAGGGCCCAGCCCACTGTGAGTGTTGCCACCCCTGGGCAGGTGGGCCTGTGTTGTATATGAAGGTGGGCTGAGCAGGGGCCCAGGTAGCAAGCCAGTAAGCAGCATTCCTCCATGGCCTGTGCTCCAGCTCCTGCCCCCAGGTTCCTGCCCTGAGTTCCTACCTTGGGCTCCCAGATGAACTGTGACCTGGGATATGTAAACTAAATAAACCCTTTCTTCCCCAAGTTGGTAGTGGTAAGAATGTTTTGTCACCGCAATCAAGAAACAAACTAGGACAAGTTCTTAAAACCATGTCAAGTGGCTCATGCCTGCATTCAACTCCAGCTCATGCATGACATTCATTCATAAACACACACACAAGGATAAGTGAAAATAATAATTTAAAAAATCTTTTAAACCTTCCGTTTTAATTGCTGGCTTCAGTTTTATTAAAAAAAAAAAAGCTAAAGCCAGACCTGTTGGTGCTGGTTGTGGTAGCTATGCCTTTAATCCCACCTCTCAGGATGCAGAGGCAGGCAGATCTCTGAGTTTGAGGTCAGTCTGATCTACATAAAGTTTCAGATCAGCCAGGCTACATAGTGAGACCTTATCTCAACAACAAAAAGGAAGGCCTGGAGGGGCAGATCTATATAATCTAATCTACTGGGGAGGCTGAGGCAAGAAGATCAAAAGTACAAAGCCTGTCTGGGTGAATGAGTTCGAGGGAAGCCTGGGAAACTTAGTGAGACCATGTCTAAAAGTTAAAAGGTTGAAAAAGAGGGTTGGGAGAGCTAGGGATGTAGCTCAGTTGGTAGAGTGCTTACTTACTTTGCACAAAGCTCTAGATTCCACCTCTAACACCATAGAACCTGGGAGCAGACGTGTATGCCTATAATCCCAACCACTTAGGGTGTGGAAGTAGGAGGATCAGGAGTTCAAGGCCTAGCTGCTCTTGCAAAGGACTTGCATTTGTGATCCCAGTAACCATATGGCCACTAACAACCATTGGTAACTCCAGTTCCTGGGGATCTAACACCCTCTTCTGGTCTCCATGGGCACTGCACCACATGGGTGCACTTACATACATGTAGCAATACACTCTTACACATAAAAATATAAGCAAAATAGTTTCTTAAACAAGAGTTGAAAGTGGAAAAAGTTTAAGAAACCCTAATGTAAAGGAGGTCAAAGATGAAGTTGGAAAGGTTACCACCCAACTTGTTACCCGGGGGGGACACAAGTTCAGGCTTGCCACTAGTTTTCCGTGTGCCCTGGCACCAAGCCCCTTCTCTGCACCCCAGTCCTCTTCTTTGTAAAGCAGGGCATTTCCAGCTTCAAGCCCAGGATGGGCCACACTCTGTGGTGGCTGCTGGCTCCGGGTCAGGCAGGTCAAGTGAGGACTGTGTGACCTGCCATCGACCCTGTTTATGGGTAGTCTGGGCATGGGTGGAAGCTGTCACAGCCTCGGGTCGGGGAAGGGAGGCAGCTAGGGAGGGCGGCGGGCTCCCGGGCGGGCACCGGCTTGAGCGACTGACTAGCCACAGCCGGAAAGGCAGGCCGTCCGGGGGTCTATCCAGCTCAGTAGGGAGGGTGCTCGGGAGATCTGCAAGGACTAAGTGCTGAGAGGTCTCCGACTGCCTGTGGAAGCAATGGCCAACCTCCTTCCATCACCCCTAGCGCACAGCTGCAGAAGAAGGCCGCCCAGTTACGGCCCGCCCAGTTACGACAGACACCAATCCCGAGCCTTCAAAGTGACCGCATAGCAAACTGATTGGTCCTGCGTCTCTGCACCAGGCAGGACCCTATAGCACACAGCTGTGCAATTCCTTGGAAGAGTTGGTCTGCTGTGTGACCTTTACTTTCCTGAATCTCTTTTTTGGTCTTTTTTAGACAGGGTCTCCCTGTAGTCCCAGCTGGCCTGGAACTCGCTAAGCAGACCAGGTTGGCCTCGAGCTCACAGAGATCCTCCTGCTTCTGCCTCCCAAGTGCTGGGATCAAAGCCATACGCTACCACGCCGATTTTCTGAACCTCTTTTTAAAAGTAGAGCCCCAGGGTGGTGTCCACGCCTTTAATTCCAGCACTCCCGAAGGCAGAGGCAGGCTGATTTCTGTGAGATTGAGGCTAGCTTGGTCTATATAGCAAGCTCCAGGCCAGCTGGCTACAGGGAGACTCTGTCTCAAAAAGCCAGACTCCCACCCCTCCCCAAAGTAGAGATATTAAGTCCCGTGTGGTAGCAAATGCCTATAATCCTAACACTTGGGAGAAAGAGGCAAGAAGATCAGGAGTTCAAGAAGTGCCTTGGCTACATATAAATAGCAAATTCAAGGCCAGCCTGAGCTACATGTGTGACATCTCAAAAGACAAGGATGGTGGTAAGGTGGCTTAGCCAGTAAAGGATATTGAGGCCAAGCTGAGGACTTGAGTTTGATTTCCAAAACACAGATGGTAGAAGGCAAGAACTGACTCTGGTAAATTGTCTTGTGACCTTCACAAGTGCCCTCTGTCATGCTCATGTTTATTTTCTATACCCCACATACAAAATAAATTTTTAAAAAAAGGAAAAAACAAGCCAGGTGTGGTGGCACCTTTAATCCTAGCATTTAGGAGGCAGAGGCAGGAAGATCTCTGTGAGTTTGAGTTCAACCTGGTTTACACAGTGAGTTCCAGGCCAGCTATGCTATGGTGTGAAATTCTGTCTTAAAATATGCCTTTAATCCCAGCACTCGGGAGGCAGAGGCAGGCGGATCTCTGTGAGTTCAAGGCCAACCTGGTCTGCATAGTGAGTTCCAGGACAGCTGGGGCTACAGGGAGACCCTGTCTCAAAAAGACATATATATATTTGTCTAGCATGGGTTTGATTCCCAGCATAGCATAAACCTGGTGTGGTGGCACATTTGGAAGGTAGAGACAGGAGGAAGATTTCAAGAATAATTTTTCTGGGACCAAATTAATCATATGCTTTGAGATCATTTAGAACTATGTATTCAATCTGTTTTCCCACTGTGCACTGAGCTTGTTTAAATTTAACTAGTCTTTAAGAAAAACAATGTCTGATGTAATTAAGTGCACCCATGTTGTGCAATGCTCTAGGAGGTCAGAAGGTGGTGTTGGATCCCCTGGAACTAGAGTTGCCAATGGTTGTTAGCTGCCATGTGGGTGCTGGGACTAGAATCTGGGTCTTCTGTAAAAGCAGTCAGTGCCATCTCTCCAGCCCTGCAAAGCTTTAATAAGATTAAAATAAGATTATGCCCCTGACTCAGAACAATTCATGTCTTCATGAGATATGGTAATTAGACCTAAGGCCACCACTGAAAGCAGCCATAACACTGAAAACAATGTATTCTATGCTAGTGTTGGAAACTAACAAATGGACATATGTTGAAGACATCTGCTTGTGGCTTTGTATGCTGTTCTGGATACGGTCAGAAAAATCACTCCTTCCCTTGTAAACTCTGGTTAAAGATTCTTGGAGACAAAATTCTTCAATCCTTCTGCATACCCTGACTGATGTGGTGTTCAATAAATGTAAGAGGAGGCCTTTTGTGAGGAGAGGACAGCTCTGAGAGAAATTAGAACTCAGGACAGATCAGGCAAACTCCAAGAGGTAGTTTGTTTTTTATTCAGCATCACCCCAGAGGATCAGAAGTTCAAGGTCACCTTTGAGTTGGAGGTCAGCCTTAGATAAACAAGATTGTCTCAAAAACAACAGTGCTCACTTTGAAGCACAGACAATAAAACTGGATGATGTAGAGAAGATTAGCATGGTCCCTGCGCAAGGATGACATGCAAATCCATGAAGCTTTCCATATTTGGGGGGACACAAATTGGACTCTATAGGCCATATTACATATATGGGTACATTAAATTTGTTGGGGGGAGGCACAGAAAGGGGAGGGGATCTAAGTACCATCAACTATATTGAATGAAAATTGTAAAAACTCAGTAAAAACAATAAAACCCCAACAACCAAAAAAAAGGGGCAGACAATAATACTTCTCCTGAAACAGCCCATGAGACAGCAAATATATCTGGAGATGAAATTTTGTTTTGTTTATGTTTTTGTTTTTTGAGACAGACTCTTTGTGTGAGTGACCCTCCCCAGCTTGGAATTCCCTATATAGACTAGGCTGCCTTGAACCCACAGAAATTCACTGCCTCTGCCTTTTGAGTGCTGGAATTAAAGATGTGCTCTACAACATCCAACCCTCAGATGATGTTTTTTAAAAAGGTGTTACTATTTTGTCTCCTTACCAAAGTAAAATTTGACTTTCTTTTTGAGAAAGGGTCTCATATCTCTGAGGATGACCTTGGGCTTCTAATTTTCCTGCCTTCACTTCCCAGTGCTAGGATTACAGGCATACACTCATGGCCATTTTATTTGGTGCTGAGGATTGAACCCCTTCCTGCATATTAGTAAGCATGCTACTAACTGAGCTGTGGTCCCAGCCCAAATACATAATTGTAGTAAAGTATATGTATGGAATACAAACAATGGAATTTCCCGTGGGTTCCTTTCTGGTTCACAGCAACTATTAATAGTTCAGTATATTTTCCCTCCTGAGTATTTATTTATAATACTTGAGATCTAATCCAGGGCCTTGGATATTCTGAGCAAGTAGTCTACTACTAAGTTAACACTCAGTTCTGAAAGATTTTTAATTAATTGTATTTTTTAGGTTTAGTTTTAAAATCTGAGTCTTGTTAGATAGCCCAGCTTGGTCTTGTACTCACAGAAATCTGGCCTCCCCTGACAGGTGCAAGCATTGTAGGTTTTTGTCACCAAGTCCGGCTTATGCAGTGCTGGAGATTGAACCCAGGATGCTAAATAAATATTTCACCAACTGAGTTACTTCCTTGGCCCAATTAAGTTTTTTATTATGTTTTGTTGTTGTTGTTATTGTTGTTTGGTCTTTTTGAGACAGGGTCTCCCTGAAGCCCTAGCTGGCCTGGAACTTACTATGTAGACCAGGCTGGACTTGAACTCACAGAGATGGATGTGCCTGCCTCTGCCTCCAGAGTGGCTCCAATTAAGTTTTTAAAGATAATGACTTGCAGCCAGGCATGGTGGCGCATGCCTTTAATACCAGCACTCAGGAGGCAGAACCAGGCAGATCTCTGTGAATTCGAGGCCAGCTTGGTCTCCATAGAGAATCCAGGCCAGCTGCAGCTATAGGGAGACCCTGCTTCAAAAAGACAAAAAAAAAAAAAAAAAAAAAAAAAGAATTGCTATGTTTCTCAAGCAGTCTTTGAACTCCTAGGACTAAATGTAAGCAAGCATTCTGTCACTGAACTAAATCCCTAACCACAGCACATTTAAATGTCAGTAAATATTACCAAACTGCTCTCCAAAGAGGAGGTATCAATTTATATTTTTCCTAGTTTGTTTCTCTATTGCTGTGACAAAACACTCTGACCAATACCAACTTGGGGAGGAAAGGGTTTATTCAGCCTACAACTCCCAGGTCGTAGTTCGGATAGGCAGCCCAAGGCAGGAACTCAGGGTGGGAACCTGGAGGCAGGAGCTGGAGCACAGGCCATGGAGGATCACTGCTTACTGGCTTCTCCCTTGGCCCCTGCTCAGCCTGCTTTCTTATGGAACACAGGCCCACCTGCCCAGGGGTGGCACCACCCACAGTGGGTTGGGCCCTCCCACATCACACAACAATCAAGAAGATACCCCACAGACATGGCCACAGGCCAGTCCAATGAAGGCAGTTCCCCAATTGAGGCTCCCTCAATCCAGGTGTGTCAAGTTGACACTAAAGCTATCTAGCACAATATTTCTATTAACAGTCTACAGGAATGCTGATTTTCCAGCATGCTCATACACATAGGCTGCCAATCTTTAAAAAGATTAAAAAATATTTTGTTTATATTTATGTGTGTATGTGCACATGTGTAGGTGGTCAAGGAAGCCAGAATAGGGCATCAGATCCCCCAGAGGCTGGAGTTACAGGCAGTCTCTCAACATGGGTGCTGGGAACCAAACTCTCATTCTCTGTAAGAGCAGCAAGCACTCTTTAACTGCTGAGCTCTCTCTCCAGCCCCTAGAATGCCAATCTTTTTTGTTTGGTTGGTTTTTTGGTTGCTATGTAGTCCAGGCTCACCTCAATCTTTGCCTGCCTCTGTCTCCCCAGTGCTGTGATTAAAGGCATGTGCCACCATGTCAGGCCTTAGGATGTCAATCTTTATTAGCCTAATAGATGAAAATAACACACTGTATTTTATTTTTTAAATATTCTTATATTGTTGTGTGTGTCATGGTGCACATGTGGAGGCTAGAGGACAACTTTGTGAAACTGATTCTTTTCCTTCCACCTTTATGTAGGTTCTAAGGATTGAACTCAGGTCATCAACCCTGTGGGGCAAATGATTTTACCTACTGAGCCATCTCAGTGCCCCCACAGTTTTTAACTGGTTTTGCTTTTTTTTCCAATATTTTATTATTTTTATTTTATGTGTATGAGTGTATTGCCTGCAAGTATGTGAGTGCACCCATGTAGTGCAATGCCGTGGAAGTCAGAAGAGGGTTTCAGATTCCCCTGGAACTGGAGTTAAGGACGGTTCATAGCTGTCATGTGGGTGCTGGGAATTGAACCTGGGTCCTCTGCAAGAGTAGTCAGTGCTCTTAACCGCTGAGCCATCTATCTCTCCAGCCCCTTAACTGTTTTTTCTTTAACTGTTACAAGTAAGAGCTAACTGTATTTTTATTAACCTTTTCCTGCTCTGAGGTTGGCACACTTTGGTTGGAACCTTTTGTTTTTCAGTATTGCATCCTTTAAGGGATTATTAAGGCCCCATTATTAAGCACCCAGGAATGTTTGCTGAATGAAAAGCAATGCTGTGAAGACTAATGAAACAATGTATATAAAGCATTAAACCAGCAGTTTATGACCCATGAGTATTAGGAGTTAGAAAGTGAGCTTTTTTATGCTCATTTCAGAATCTGGGATGGTGGCTGTGAACTCTAGGATTAAGAAGGCACAGCTTCTTCCTGCTCTTTCACACTGTTCTAGAGTAAGTCACCTAAATTCTCTGACCTCCTTTTCTCTGCAACGGTTGGAAGAATGTCTGCGAGTTGTATCATGCTTATAGAAAAGAGTTATTAGGTGAAAACCAAGAGATTGATTTATGATAAGCAACTGAGACATTTAATGTCTAGCATGTGTGAGGCTAGCGGATCTCAGAGATGGAGGCCAGCCTGGTCTATTTAGGGAGTTACAGGCCAACAGGGCCACACAGAGACCCTGGATGTGTGATTATGTGGCTTCACACTAGACCCAGTGTCTCATTCATGTTTTTTTTTTTTTTTTAATCAACCCTCTACTGCCCTCTACTGCTCAGCTCGCCTCACTTCACTGCAATTCAACCCCACAAATATCTAATTTTACTTTCTCTTGGTTTTGGGAATCTAGCCCAGGACCTTGTGCGTGCCAGACAAATGCTCTACCATTGAGCTACACCACAGCCTGTTCCTCTGTTCTCACCAGTGCAAGAGACATAGAAATCACAGTCTGTTGGGAGACAGACTTTTATGCCATTCCAAACATACAAAAAAACATTTTCTGGAACAGCAATTACTATGAACCAAAGCTAAGTACATTGTATACCCAAATTTTTAGTTATATGCACTGGTATGGGATGGATTTGGTTGTTTCTTTTTGGTTTTGTTCTGTTTAGTTTTTTGAAGACCTAGTCTCCCTATAGCCCCAGCTGACCTGGAACTCACTATGTAGACAAGGCCAGCCTTGCCTTGAACTCACAGAAAATTGCCTACCTCTGCCTCTGAGTGCTGGAATTAAAGGCATGCACCACCATGCCCAGATTTATGGGATGGATTTGTATTTACAGAACAGGAATGAGGTGTAAGGTCACAATTTTAATATGGCACTGGGATTCTTTTTAGGTTTTTTTTTTTTTCCTGAGATGAAGTCTCACTATAGAGACCTTAAACTTCTGATCCTCCTACTCCCAGCTTTTGGACAGGTGTAGGAGGAAGTACAGCCTGAACAACCTGCACATGCACACTGCAAATGCGCCAAAAACACCGACTGAGTCAAACCTGTGTTCTGCCAAAAGACGTAGAGACGGCTGACACGAAAACGGCCTGATACAGAGAGCCAATGAGGAACAGACACGACCTATCAATGGACCAATGGGACACCGGGAGGGGGGATATAAGGGAGCCCCATATCCGCAATAAACGAGTCTGCAGCTGTTCGCACTACCTGCTTTTTCACCTGACTCCCGGAGTCTGCACTGTGACTCCTTGATGGCTCTACCCCTGTCGGGAAGGCCCCAGGACACCCACAACATCTGGCTCCCAACGTGGGTTCCCCATGCCGGCATGGGCATCGACCTTCTTGGGTTCTGGCCATCGTTGTAGTAGCCGCTTTTCTCTTCCGGACCGTGTTCTTTGCAATTTTCTGCCAGCCGTGCATTGACCGCTCTGGAGATCGGCCTTAGTTTTGCCTTCCCCGCCCACGACCCGCCTGGGCGCCTCTCCCCTACTTTCTTTGGTGGTGCGAGACACTCCCTGCCTGAAGTTTTGGTAAGTCGGTCCCTATGTGTTACATGTGCCTTGGGTTCTCACGAGTGAGCGTGAGAACCCCCACCTTCCCTTTTCCCTTGTCCTGTCGATAAGGGAGGTACACATTTTGCTTTCCGTTCACCGGAGCCTCCACATAAAGTCTGACCCCCTAGGAGGTGGAACCCAGGAGCAGCCCCTGACTGCCATTCCCCATCCGGAGACACCATGTGGGTGTACAGCCATGGCCTAATGAACCACGAAGTCCCCCACTGAGCACAAGACATCTGGGTCTGACACATTCTCTTTGTCTTAGAATTAACATGGGTAATCTGCCCCCCAGCTGTAGGGAACCCCAAATCAGGGCATTAAAATTCCTCGTCACCTGAGGTCTTAAAATTAAAACCAATGACCTAGATGCTTTCTGAAATGAGGCTACCATCCTCTCACCATGGGTCACCCCCCCCCCCGGAGAACATGTGGGACCCTGACCTCTGGATGCCCTTTCTTTTCCTTGCTAGGAAGCGCAAGGTCTCCTCAGGTGTCATCCCACCTGCCTCATTTGTCCCCATTCTCCTGGTCATCATAGCTAGCCTAATTCCTTGGTCCTACTCATCCTTGTCAAGTGTCTCTTTCAGCATGCTGGATGGCAAAAACGCATCAACAGAGCCATACTCCAGGTCCTCTTGGCACCTCAACACAGAGGCCTCGATCCTCCCCACGAGGTCCTACAGGCCTGGCTCATGGGGAAATCCATAAGGCCTCTGTATAATTGCCTTCCCCAATCACCCTGGTGGGCTCAAACCCAGGGCGGTCGCCCTTTGAGGGACGGTAGTCAATGACGGGTAAGAGCTTGCTAACCAAGCCAACCTAAGACAGGCACAGTCCACAATACTGGGGACCCCCTGAGGTGGGGCCAACAATGCCAAGGCGAAGAATCTTGGCTTCCACTAGAGCTTCACAAAAAGAAAAGGGTGGATATGTAGGAGGAAGTACGGCCTGAACAACCTGCACATGCATGCCACCAAAAACATCCAGCTGAGTCAAACCTGTGTTCTGCCAAAAGACATAGAGACGGCTGACACGAAAATGGCCTGATACAGAGAGCCAATGAGGAACAGACACAACCTATCAATGGACCAATGGGACACCGGGAGGGAGGATATAAGGGAGCCCCATATCCGCAATAAATGTCTGCAGCTTCTCGCACTGCCTGCTTCTCACCTGACTCCTGGACTCTGTGTCGTGACTCTGCACCGACTCTACCCTTGCCCAGAGGGCCCCAGGACACCCACAACAGACAAGGATAGGAATTTTTCTTTTTTAACATTTTATTATTGTCTTTTTGAGACAGGGTCTCCTTGTAGCTCCAGCTGGACTGGAACTCACTATGTAGACCACGCTGGCTTCAAACTCATAGAGATCCACCTGCCTCTACCTCCCAAGTGCCTGGACAACAGACGTGGTCCACCACGCCCAGCTTTTGTTTTATTTTATGCATATGAGAGTATTGCTTGCAGGTGCACCTATGTCATGCAGTGCCCAAGGAGGTCAGAAAAACAAGTTGGATTCCCCTGGAACTGGAGTTAATAGACCATTGTTAGCCACTATGTGGGAGCTAGGAATTGAACCCAGGTCCTCTGCAAGAGCAGCCAATGCTCTTAATCACTGAGCCTTCTCTCCAGCCCAGAATTTTTTTTTTTTAATTTTTTTACATTTGTGTGTTGAGGTCAGAGGTCAGAGGACTAACTTGTGGAAGTCAGTTCTCTTTACCATGAAGTCTTGGGGGCTGAATTCAGGTTGTCATGCTTGGTGTCAAGTGCCTTTGCCCGCTAAACCATCTCTCTGCCCCTCCCCCCTTTCTTTTCCTTTTTCAGCAATGGGGAGCTGAAGCATGCCAGGCAAGGGCTCTACTACTGAGTTACATCCTCAGCATGGGACGAGGATTCTTAACTAATATTTGTCTCCCCTCCAAAGCCAGTTCTTTCCTAATACATTATTCAGAATAAACCAAGTAATGAGGAACACTAAGTGGAAGCTTCTAAACGTGTTTTGGGTAAGTATGTTAGCTGTATCCTAGAAAACTTCATAGAGATTTCTGGTCTGGTCAGAGAAAGCTGGTACAACCAACAAGAACACTGGTGAATGGGGTATAGGGAGATGGTAAGAAAGGCAGGAGAGAAGACTAGAATGAAATTTCACAAGGGCCTTGAAGGTCAGGCTAAGGAAGAAGGTTCAAAACTAAAGGTCAGGCCTTCCCATCCTGGGGCATGATTTTTTTTTTTTTTTTTTTTTTTTGTCTGAGACAGGGTCTCCCTATAGTCCCAGCTGGCCTGGAAGAAGGTATGTAGACCAGGCTAGCCTTGAACTCACAGAGCTCCACCTGCCTCTAGAGTGCTGGGATTAAAGACATGTGCCACCATACCTGGCATGCTGCTTGAATTTTAAGAGTTCCCTCTAAATGACCAGGGATATACAAAACATGGGTAGCTGTGTGTGGTAATTTCCAGCACTCAGTAGGCTGAGATAGGAGGATGGTCTTACGTTAAAGGCCAACCTGAGCTATAGAGTGAATTTCAGGGCAGCCGGGCCTACATAGACTATGCCAAGGAAAAACAATACCAAACGAAAGTATGCGTAAAAGTGGTATATCACTGGGACTGGAGAGGCGGCTCAGCAGTTAAGAGCACTGGCTGCTCTTGCTGAGGACGCAGATTTTGTTCCCAGCACCCATTCCGTTACTCCAGTTCTATGGGCTCCTACACCCTCTTCTGGCCTCCTTGGCACATGAGTGCACTTATAAACATGCAGGTAATACACTCATACACATAAAAATGCCATATCATCGTGAAATGTCAGTTTTACTCAGATTTGAGGAAAAGGAAATCTTGTGTTATCCTGTGAAAGATATTTTATGGAATTGCTTGTAAACTAAATGAATTTTTAAAAAAAACTGGAATTTCTGGAACTGGAGAGATGACTTGGCAGTTAAGAGCACTAGCTGCTCTTGCAGAGGATCTGGTTTGATTCCGAGTACCCACATGCCAACTAACAAACCCTCCATAACTCCAGTTCCAGGGGAATCTGACACCCTCTTCTGACTTGTACTACATGGGTGCACTTACATACATGCAGGTAATACAGTCATACACATAAAAAAAATTTTTTTTTGGTCTTTTTGAGAGGGTCTCTCCCTGTAACCCCAGCTGTCCTGGAACTATGTAGACCAGGCTGGCCTTGAACTCTCAGAGATCCACCTGCTTCTGCCACCTGAGTGCTGGGACTAAAGGCCTGCGCCACCAGGCCCAGCCCAAAATAAAAATATTTTTAAAAACAAAAAAAACTGGAATTTCCAAAGAATTGTACCAGCTTCAGTGAGTTTGTCCCCACTAAGGAAATGGCTGGATGTGGTCCTTAGAATGTGTTACTAGGAAGCGATTTAGGAAGTCTTGCTATATAGGTGATGGGAAATCATAGACTGCACTCCACAGAGGGCTCTAGACTAGGACAGGATGACATTCAAAGATAATGGGATTTGTAGTTTAAAAGGTAGAGCATTTTTCTACTATGCTTGAGGCCCTAAGCTTGATCCTCAGTACCAAAATAAATATAGTAAATTTAAAAAGATTTTTTTTTTTTTTGAAGACGGTCTCCCTGTAGTCCCGGCTGGCCTGGAACTTACTATGTAGACCAGGCTGGCCTTGTACTCACAGCGAAGTGCCTGCCTCTGCCTCACGAATGCTCGGATTAAAGCGTGCACCACCCTGGCCCATAAAATTTAAGACTTAAATGAAGAAAAAAATAGCTCTCTTTGGAAAAGCTTTCTGTCTCAGGTTTGTGAAGGTAATGGTTCTAGGCAGAACAAGACAAAACAGTGCAGCTCCTCTCCCACATTTTCTCGACACATTTCTTTTTGTATGGTACTGGGCTTGAACTTCCCCCATGCCAAATGCTAGACAAGCTCTCCGTCACCGAGTCACTTCTCCAGTTATACATCCTCTTTCACTTACTGTATGGCTTTGGACACGTTACTTAACCTCTCTACCATCCCAGTGTAAAACTGAGCCAATAACTGGTATAAATCTCGTAGATCCCTATTCAATGTTCAGCACTAAGCGCTGGCTATTTTTACTATGTTACTATAATTTCTACTGCTGCTGTGCCCCCATCATCACTCGCGGCCTCACTCACACCCTGGGTCATTCACGTTGGTTCTTATGAGTTTGGAAGGAACACAGAACTAAGTCCGGCTTCCAGTTGCGCTAGTTTATGTATGCTCAGAGGCTTGTCCAACACCTGGCACAAAAAAGGTCCTTACAACGCTTGCGGCCTGAATAACACTGGTTTCCCGAAGAGCTGCTTTGGCCGGGCTGGGATGGAATGGCGCAGGCCAGCACTGTGCGGCTGGGGGAAAGGAGGGGCCGTCGTCTAGCATCTTGGGGATACGGAACTAATAGCTGAAGGACGAGTGGACGGTTCCGACAGCGAGGCGAAGTCATTACGGGAACACAGGCACCACAGAAAAGCCGCTGCAGAAACACTGAACGACCTCGGCGGAAGAATGGACCGCGCGACCGTAGGGCCCCGAGGGCTGCCGGGAAGCCCCGTCAGGCCCGCCCGCTTAGCACTGACGTCACGCCGCCTGTAGCCCCGTCCTCGCTGGCTCACGTGACCGCCGGGCTGGCGTCGGAGCCATGGCCGGCCTGGTGGACTTCCAGGATGAGGAGCAGGTGAAATCCTTCCTGGAGAACATGGAGGTGGAGTGCCACTACCAGTGCTACCGCGAGAAGGACCCGGACGGTGAGCGCAGCCCGGTCAGCCACGGAACCTGCGAGGGTCGCGCACTCGGAGGCGCTGTCGGGAAGGACTCGGCGTGGTGGGCGGAGCCGGGCTGCTCGGGGGCGGAGCCTGGAGGCTGCTAGTGCGCCTGGGGTTTGCGGGTTCTGGGCCTGCGAATGCAAGAGTGAAATTAACTCTCTATCCTCCCTCAACTTGCATGTCTTTGAGGAAGTCTGCTAACCAGCATGGGAAATAAATGGAGTACGTGTCAAAAGTAGTAAGTGCGAGCCTGGCGCGATGACTTGCGCCCAGCAGATCACTTAGAGCTCAAGAGTTAAGGACCAGCCTGGGCTACATAGGGAGACACCCGGCTTTAAAAAATTGCAATTTGGGTTGGGGGGGGGGGGCTGGAGAGATGGCTCAGCGGTTAAGAACAGTAGTTGTTCTTGCAGAAGACTCAGTTTCGAATCCCAACACCCACATGGCAGCTAACAACTGTCCGTAACTCCAGTTCCAGGGGATCCAACAGCCTCTTCTGTC